TGTATCTCAATGCAATTACATGATTCTTTTGCAGAAGAAATACCTACACATTTTATTTAAAAAAAATTATCTTTTCTTTCTGCATTTCAAAACTAAAGGACTATAAGCTCATTATACATAGGAAAAATTCATTATGTTTATATGCGATAGCGCCTTAGTTTATGATTAGTTTATCTGAAAGACCCTGTTTAGAAAAATACAACAAATACAGTCAGCACAATATTTGTTGATGAATTCCAAAAAAATTATCGGAACTACTGTAACAATGTCTTTCTATCTCGAGTGTCGAATGCGGTTAATTCTAAGAAAGGGACGCAGGAGTCTTCTTGAAATTCTGTCTCAACAAATTTCGTACGGACTGTACATATTGTCATAATTTTTATTTATTAAATAGAATTGTTTCTTAATGTTATTACGAGTATTTTACAGATTAGCTTCCCTTCAAAAAAAAATTATTTCTCACGACTAGATTTGGAAAACGTCTTCGTGCCCACCAAACGGAGTAACACAACGGCGATTTTAATAAAATAGGATAATTTTGTATTGATTTATTTACGTACTGTTAACCCTTTAACGCTCAAAAAATCGGATTTTTCTTTGAACCACGGACGTCATTCCTCCCAGGCAAGGAGTCAAATCAAACTAGACTTTACGTTTTTGATGGTGCCCACAGAATTTGGAAAAATATATTCAGACCACGAAAAAGGACTTCCAAGTTGAAGAACACCACAATTTTTTCCTATTTTTAATATCGTGTTTTGAAGATTTTATTCGTGCCGAAGATACGTGCCTAAAACCAATGGAAACGGTGGATAAAATTTGTCAACTTAAAAGATTCATGATGTGTTCATCGATTTAGTCACTTGATGAACAAATTTGGTGGCTGAACTGGAAAACGGTGACATCAGATGTTTAGAACGATTTTACTCGAAAAATGCGGGTTTCCTTGAAAAATGTCAAGAGACAAAAAGTCTTAAAATTGATCAAAGAATAAGTTGGAGTTTAACAATTTGGTCAAAATGCTCTCTGACTAATTCTAAGTCCTTTCTGTCCCTTGAAATTTCAAGTCATAAAAACCTGATGCTACCATATTCCGGTTCAACCGCCATTTTGAGCGTTAATGGGTTAATTCAAAACGGTGTTGGCTTAAAAAGAAAAAAAAACGTAAAAATTTTACTTCAAGATTAATAATTGATATATGGGTATAAAATTGAAACTTTTTCGTTCGAATTTTTCCAAAATAATATTATATTGATACGACTCTCAAACGGTTTAAATTCAATTCAAGTAATAACGATTAAAATAATGGCAAATCATAAATTTTCGAAAGATATGGACTTCAAGTCAAGTAGAAACTTAGTTTCTAAAACTATCAAGCTGTTGAACTTGAAAAAGTTTTGTAGTTATGCTGTGCCGTCATTATAAATTCACAGCTTGGTTTTTTAATCTAACAATCACATTTTACTATTTAAATCTATTTATTCTGTTTTAAAACTGTTCTTTGATACACATAACTGTATTTTCTTGCGTGCTTAACACGTAATGATTTAATAAATCATTTCAGTTTTCAGTAACTAGAGCGGTGCTTCAATCCTAACTGAATCGTAAATAATTACTAGGCAATTAGACCATAGCGCGCTATCTTTAGATCTCCTGCAGATTCTTATGTATGGGGTGATCAGTAAGGTTATTTATAGAAATACTACTATCCAAAATTTGATAATTGACAAAACTTGATACGAACGCACTTAAAATCTTATCTCAAATAATTAACCTTGATTCCGGATGATCCTTATATATGTCCAAAGTTTAGTTGGGAATGAAAAGTTAAGATACTAAAGGGTAGAACTATTTTAGTATTCCATGTGACAGAATGGATTCAATTATTACTGTATTCTACTGTTCCTTGTCATTAATAGTTTGCTATATTTAGACTTCTCCCACATGCAATTTTTTTTAAATGGTAATTTTATATTTATTTTGGGAACTTCTTTGTTATGATTGTGTAGGCATTGTTGGTGCGTGCGATGTTTTGAATATTATACTTGATATTAATCACAAAGAATGAAAGAAACGAATAAATGCTTGCCGGTTTCTACCCCTTACAACCAATCAGTTAATCTTATTGTCATAAATTTACATAACTAAAAAAGAATTTCTATCGTACTGTATCGTACAGTAAGTACTGTAACTTAGTAGGTTTTGCACGTTTTGTATATTTTATTGAAAGATGTCGCTGATAAGTTGATCTCTAAATCTATGAAATTATAAAATATCTTTATACATAAATAAACTGAAATTATATATCTGTTACAAATTCGCTTCTTACTACAGGGATCTTGGGTAAGAGATACGAAGTAGCTTAAATGGAGGCAAAGTTACATAATCAGGGGACCAAAAAACGAAAATTTGGGAATCCGTTTTTGTTTCATTTCATTTTGTTTTAAGGTGATATTGAAAAAAGAAGAACACTTTCTCATGGCAACTTTTTGCGCATGACTGGATAAGTTATTGCGTCAAAATTAAAACATTACAATTTTAATTTCATTATTACAAATTAATTCTTGAAAATGCATATGAGCAACCAAAACTCCAAAGAATATTATACCTACTTTAAAAAATTTCAGTAAATATTCATAAACGTTTCCGTTTTGGCAAATGTTGAAAATGAAAATAAGGGAAATATGATCGGAATTTATTATACCTCTAACAGCAACTGTGAAAGAGCATGTCAGATGTATTTATATGAATATCCTGAAAAAAATTAGACAGAAATGTGTTTGAATTTTGAGCACTTGAGAAATCTAGAAATAACTGAGCACGAGATTAAAACTAATAATGTTTTATTTTAACGTGTAATGGTAATAGTTTAAACAATTAGGTGGATTTCACAGGGTCTAACGACACTTAGAGTGTACGATAATACAATAAACAGAAATCTAAATAAAAAATTTAGATAAATTTGGAACGAATACATTTAAGATGAATTTTTCAAGACAAAACGTTTGAATCTGGTTCAGGCTGACGCAGTACGGTATTGGTATTGGTCATGAAGGCTTGCAAAAAATGTAATAAAATTTCTAGGGTCGTATTTAAAAAACTGAAGTTGATATGGTCCTGGAGAGACGAAACGTTACATATAAAAATTGATCATGCTATTCGATAGAGGGCAAAAATATGCCATGAGAAAGTGTTCTTCTTTTTTCAATATCACCTCAAACAAGGCTGAAATAAAACAAAAACGGATTTCCAAAATTTCGTTTTTTTTTTCAAATATTTCGAAAACTAATAATGTTAGCCTTGACTTTTTAGGGGCATAATGTTGATCCCCTGATTATGCAACTTTGCCCCCATTTAAGCTAGTTCGTATTTCTTACCATTTTCGAGATGTCTACAGTGAGAAGCAAATTTGTAACAGTCTGTATATGTACAGGGTCATTCACTATATTTTGACCCCCCTTTAACTTTTTTGTTTTCAGTTATAAAAAAATGATTTTTTATTAAGTTTTCGGAAATGATAGTAGAAAAACAAATGAAGTTCAAACAAAATGGCCGCGGATGTTAACTTTGTTATTTTAAATGGAACACTCTGTATATTTTTACATATTTGAATAGAACGTTCCCTGCCGAGCAAAGTCATATATTTGGGTCCATCTCTAACAATAAGCGAGATACTATTAAAAAACGAAAAGAAGGTTTTTTATTAAGAAAAAGATATTTTGTAATTGTTGGACGACTTTTAGGCATTTCTGCCTTTTCTCCAATTACCTAAGGATTTAGATTTATTTGTAATATATTTTAACATATCGAACATTGATATAGTCCAAAATAGGTGTATTTTAACTAAATCTCACTAATTAGGCCGTGAAAGGCCCATTTACTCATGGACAATGTTATATGGTAGGTCGTGATGTTATTGTTTGACAGTTTGTATTATTATTTAATTAAAATGGGTTACACAGAAATAGAAAATTGAAATATTATTAGGAATTAAAATAAAGTGTGGAGAATATCTTAACTACTCCATCTTAATTCCTATAATATTTAAATTTTCTACTTGTGTGTAACCCATTTTAATTAAATAATAATACAAACTGTCAAATAATAACAATGTTGTCATAATATTACCTGTCACGTCACGGCGTGCCATATAACATTGTCCATGAGTAAATAAGCTCCTCACGGACTAATTAGTGCGATTTAGTTAAAATACTTATACCCATTTTGGACTATATCAATGTTCGATATGTCAAAATATATTACAAATAAATCTAAATCCTTACGTAATTGGGGAAAAGGCAGAAATGCCTGCAAGACGTCCAACAATTACAAAATATCTTATTAAAAAAAAAACTTCCTTTCGTTCTTTAATATTATCTCGCTTATTGTTAGAGATGGACCCAACAAACCATATATGACTGTGCTTGGCAGGGAACGTTCTATCCAAATATGTAAAAATATACAGGGTATTCCATTTAAAATAACAAAGTTAACATCCGCGGCCATTTTGTTTGAAATTCATTTGTTTTTCTACTATCAATTTCGAAAAATTCATAAAAATCGTGCAACTTTTATATTTCACATTTTTTTATAACTCTTAAAACAAAAAAGTTAAAGGGATCAAAATATAGTGAATCACCCTGTACATATTTTTTCATATAATTAAAAATAAAAAATTTGTCCTCTTTCAAACACACTGTATACCTAATCACATTACATAAGAAACTCAAATTTATTTAAAACAAAAATTAAGCAGGCATTTTATACTTTTGCTGAATATTTTAATAATAATAATAACTGCCTGATTGCATTATTTTATCAGTACTGTATTTATTCAGTTTGTAGAAAAATGAATACGTTTTACGTAATTTGTAAACTTAATTTGTATATTTTAACTGTACCTACTCGTTTTATTTTCGTAGAATTTTACTATTTCTTCTCTTACTTCCATGAAACATGAAAATTTAAATAATTAAAATACATATTATCTCGCTTTTTACCTGTATCCAAACAGATTCCCATATTCCAATTTAGGTGTAATTAAGCAGTGTTCTTAAGTCACAGGGATGCAAACATAATCGCGGGTGCCGCGTCGAAGTTTTAGATTTATTCATCGAGACAGCGACGCCAACAGAAGTCTATTCTCACCCGACAACACTAACTGTTTGAAAACTATGAGCTTTCGAAGCATCTACATGTTAAACTGCGATGCACTCAGTGATACCACTTTCTGGAGAAAATTACATGCGTATCTACGTTCTTTGGCGGCAGATTTCTCGAAACTAGCCTCGTCGGGAAAGCGTATCTCTCCGTGAAAATGCTATAAAATTTGAATAATTAATGAACACCCTTGCCTAGCCATTGGTTGCTATGGTTTTGCGTCGTCGCACCGCATTAACTTGACCATTGTCCGAACTGTATGAGCGCATGTTCTGGGTTATTACGAGCCATAAACCGATATAATGTTATGCTTCATACCTCGCATTATCTATGCATTGATCTATTAAAAAAACCTCCTTTCGAATTGTGTTTTCAGTATTTTCTCCTATTGAATATTTGATCATCCAAAGAGGCGCAAGTATTTTTAAGGACACTATTCTACATAATATAATAATGTTATTTCCTAAAAGTAGTGGTCCAATAAAAAATATAAATATCGTAATCATCTGTTACCCATAAATATTAAAGATTGTAAACATCGAGTCTACTAAGTTGTAACATAAATGCAGTAGTGGACCAGACATGCCTACGCCCGACTCGATACGCAAATTTTATTTTCTAATAGCTGTTTTACATTGGCAATTTATTGATCAATTAATTCATGAAGTCGCTTCGTCAAGAAATTGGACAAGTGTAATGCACCAAATCTGCTGTCAAATAACTTCATGAATTTATTCATCAAGTTCTTGACGAATTAGAGCATGTTCTAATTTTCGTCAATTTCTTCGTGAAGTTCGGAAGTACCAACCCAACAGATTTCCAGCCTCAGATCAGTAATGAGGTTATGTTATTGGAATATGTAAATAATTCTGTGGCGTCGTACTAGTTTTGCATTGTTTTTACTGAATTGTTACTTACAAACACTAATATTTATATAATATGTGTCAGAACGGTACCGCTGTTGTATCACTACAATAATTATGAGTGGAAAGGTGACTTTTTGAAATTTATTTGCTTCTTTGATTCATTGGTAGAACTGATTCATACGTCAAAAAACTTGTAGCAGTGTAAAACCACATTGTTTACCAATGAATTAATTCATGAATAATAATATTTGACAGCAGATTTGGTGCATTACACTCCAATTTCTTGATGAAGCGACTTCATGAATTAATTGATCAATAGATTGTCAATGTAAAATAGCTATAATAACTTTGAAAGTGGATGATTTATTTTTTTAATGTGATGTGGGGGGCTTTCGTTTTGGCAAATATAGTACCTATTAGCAACTAATATCAGTTCAGAGTAGCTTTAAGTAGCTATTAGCTACTAATAGCTACTATTGTTGCCAAATCGAAAGACTACTTTTCTTATTATGACAACTTTTTATATGTCAGTGTCATTAGTGAATATTCCTTGACTACCTAAGAAGAAATAGGCAGTAACGGCTTTCTTTGTTTCCTGGATCAGTGCGAACTGCCAGGAAGCGGGTGAAAGATTCGGAGCTGAAAAATTATGTGGCCGCAAATAAATAACATAAGTTAGAGTTTGCAAGACAATTTGTAGGAAAAGACAATTTCTGGCAGAATGTTATATTTTCGGATGAGAAAGTTTTCAGTCTTGCTCCGATGGTTCTGTCCGTGTCTACCGACCGGAGAATACAAGGTATTCGGAGCCTTATGTGAAACCCACACAGCGCAGCGGAAGATTCTCCATTAACGTTTGGGCTTGGATAAGCTGCCACGGGCCTGGTGTTTGTTGTAGGATGGAAGAGCTCCTCATTGGACTGAGCTATCCGTGACCATGCGGCATCCTCAGAATTTCACTTTCCAGCAGGATAATCGTTCAATTCACACCTCAAGAGTTGCGGCAGAATGGTTCATTGATGACAACATCGATGTTTTACCTTGGCCCTCAAAGTCTCTTGACCTCAATTCTATCGAGAACGCCTGGGGATATACGGTGAAGAAAATCTACGAGAGAAACTTCCATCTAGCTAACTCCGAAGAACTTTGGGAGGCAATTGAAAATTCATGGAATGACATCGCTGGGGAGTACAAAAGAACATTAATTTTATCAATGTCGTAGATTGCAAAATGGTGCTTGGAGAAAATATTAACTTTACAAATCGCGTTTTTCTGACAACGAAAAGTGTTTCGTTATTAGATCTCGGTGACGGCGAATGAATGGCCGCTAGAATGTATAATATATTTTAGTATTGGAAAAATAAATAATTTGGTTTTACTCAGTAGAACTAGTATGATAGACGCACATTAAATTTGATATAATGACAGCCGATTAGAACCTGACATTTTCAAGTCAGCTTCACAAAGACAAATTATAGACAATTTGCTGATAAGAGTCGTCCATTCTCAAAGGGCCGGCACTGTACGTTTAGATGTGAAAATTTTAAAATGTCTATATGATTTTTTTCTTTTTAGGTTGCTTTAATATTTAGTGTTGCCGGTGCATGTCACCGTGATGAACTGAAGGTTTAGACAGAGGATAATAAAACGAAAAAAACGAGATCATTTATGATAAACTAAACTTATATGCCATTGTAAAAAAATATGTCATGTACCGTCCACAAAATTTTGAAAGTTGCTGCTTTTTCTTTAAATATTCAAATGGGAAAGGTTGCAGGCAAGTAGTAGGAATACATCAGTTTGATAAAATGCTCCAAATTGTCGCAAAATTTTTAAATTCGCCAAATGCAGGAGGAAATAATAACAGCAATAATGTCGTCGATATTTCAAGTATAGTTCAGCTAATGTTTAATAGTTGTACGAACTGCAACATAACTATAAATATAAATAAATAGCTATAATAAAAGTTTAATATGTGGAATACGTCCAATGAATTATAAATATTTAGTAAATAATGCATTTTTGATGCCAGTCGATTTGCCCGCGTGTATTTATGAGTATTTACTATATAAAATATAAATAAAAAAAAAACAGTATGGGCTAGGCCAAAAAAGTAACTATCCCATACTGTTTGCTGAAGGTTGCCTAGCAACGAACTAAAATACTAAAATAAGGTATTTTGGAGGCTTAACTTGGGGCGCAAAAGTTCACATTTCCGAACGATTTCAGAAAAAACAATTTTCGGAATGATATTATATGAGTTGCATATTAAGATCATGACAATGATTATTTTCATGCTTAAAAAATATTGATTTCTGTCTGGATTAAAAGAAATCCCGTTTGCAACTTTTCGTAACTAAGCCAGTCTCTTTAATAAACACGCCAACCTGACGCATGTAATCTGATAAAATTGTCAGTTGATACGACAGACTTCAAAACTATTATCACATCCAAGCATTTTAGCAATAACGTTTGCTAATGAGTGATGCAACAGCGTACACAACTAAACTAACTTTCACACTGAGACAATAAGCAACTGGCAACAACTAGCAACTGGCAATAAGCAATAGGCAACGTTATTTTGTTCATAAATGATCACCCTTCACCGTTTAAAATATATATATATATCATAGTTTTTTCTTTTTTATTACAATAAATTATTTTAACAGTAATTTAACTAATTAGTTCATTATTACGACGTTACTTAATAATAGGTATACAAACTGCCAGTTTGTTTCAAACAACAATGAAATAAATAATTGTCAAGGTCTATATACTACGGCCGTATCGTAATTATAAGTAAATATAATATTTAATTGACTCGATAAGAAATTTATCTGCAAGTTTAGTAATGGTTTTAATATGGTAGTTTTTTGTTAAATAATGTTCGAGCATTATTTATTATACATCAATTTCATGCAGCACCCATTTCTTAATATGGAAATAATAAGTATAGAAAACTGCGAATTACTACTATTAAACCGTTGGCGTTACACACTAACATATCGAGGGCGCCATATTAGAATCGCGTAGCGTACGAACCAAATCTGAAATTTGAAAGGAAATGAAAAAAACGTTTTGAAAATCAAGATTTAGAATGAATTTGTTGATTTTGCCAACATAATAAGACCAATTATAGTTCATTGGGGAGATTTTACATCTAGCAAAATGCCAATACTGATTTCCGGCTCATGCGCCCTTCTGATATTAGGATATTCGAAGAATGTGTATTAAATTTATTTAAATAATAGTTGTATAGTATACAAAAATATGCTTTATTAACACAGCAATTGTAAAATTTGTTACATTTAATTTCGGTGCCTTTTCCTCTTTATAAGTCGTTCTCGTACTTGTTGTAGAGACGTCTCGTCATCGATTTCTTCATCATCGGAATTTTGGGAACTTTTATTACTGGCAAGGAAACATAAAAATATTTATATTCTCGAGGAATGACTGCATCTTTGCCTTTGCACATAGATAATAAATTGTTATACTTTAATTTATTTGTAGGAAGTTAGCGATGTTGTAACCTCAGAGTAATACAGGGTGTCAAAAAAAGAGTGTAAAATATTTAAGAAGGTAATAGTATGAACCAAAATAAGCAGAGAAGTCTTAATAAACATGGGTCCGCAAAGTAACGGTTGCGGAGATATGGAATGTTTTATGTTTTTTAGCCCCTTTTTTTATTTTGCAAAAACGTTGTGTATTTTCTTATAATAGTTGGTTGATGTTTAGTGAAATAAACAGTACGTATTTGACAGTTGTTCTCAGTGCACAAGTTTTCTTTCGCTATGGCTGGTTACTCTAACGCAGAATTAACAGACATGCATTTCATGTATGGTCGTGCTAATGGGAACGCCACCGAAGCGCGACGTCTTTATGTTGACGCTTATCCAAATCGCCAGATTCCTTCACAACGCATGTTTGGAAGAATTCACCAAAGATTGCGTGATACCGGTTCCTTGAGCAAACAGTGCCATTTATCCGGAAGACCAAGGTCGGTATCCACTCCTAGAGCAGAAGAAGAAATTCTAGCACTGGTAGAGCAGAATCCAGGTACGAGTGTGCGGAGAATATCAGCCGAGGTAGGAATTAGTGGTCCTCTTGTTTGGAGAATCCTTCACGAGCAACTGCTTTATCCATACCATGTGCAACGAGTACAGGCCTTAAATCCAATAAATGATCATCAAGCACGTTTGGTTTTTTGCCGCTGGTTTCTACGTCATGATGCTGAAGACCCTCGTTTTCTTGCAAACATTCTTTTTACTGATGAGGCCGGGTTCACAAGAAATGGAGTGTTTAATTTTCACAATACGCATATTTGGGCCGACGAAAATCCTCATGCTCTAATAGAATCTGGACATCAGGCACGTTTTTCATTAAACATTTGGATGGGTATTGTAGGTGACAGGTTTCTAGGTCCTGTTGTTTTACCAAACCGATTAACAGGCGCTGCTTACCTCAACTTTCTGCAGAACACACTGTATGAGTTTTTGGAAGACATTCCTTTGAATCAGAGGCAACAAATGTGGTTCCAGCATGATGGTGCTCCAGCTCATTTTTCCATGGCCGTTAGAGAGCATTTACACCAAACTTTTCCACATAGATGGGTAGGAAGGGCCGGACCTGTTTTATGGCCTCCAAGATCGCCTGATCTGAACCCTCTAGATTTCTTTGTTTGGGGATATTTGAAGACATTAGTGTATGGTACTCCTGTAAATAGCCTGGAAGAGCTGCAGCTACGGATTAATCAAAAGTGTCAAGAAATCCAAACCAAGGAGGGTGTTTTCGAAAGAGTTCGAATATCGTTGAGACGAAGATGTCGTGCCTGCTTGGAAATGGACGGAGGGCACTTTGAACATCTTCTGTAACTTTGTTTTTTGTTTGTTAAAAGCTTCCTTTGTCGGTTTATTCCTAATAAAATAAAATGTTTGAAAAACGAATAGTGGTCCATATCTCCGCAACCGTTACTTTGCGGAACCATGTTTATTATTACTTTTCTGCTTATTTTGGTTCATACTATTACCTCCTGAAATATTTTACACTCTTTTTTTAACACCCTGTAGATAAAGGGGAGACCGCATTCCCTATTTCAGTACACAGTGTAAACATGTAACCTCAACCTATTGTATGTTGATAAACAAATGATATATAAGTAAACACAATGGTCCCTGGTACAGTGGCGTACCGAGTTTAGGTTTAAAATCTATAATAATAAATAAGGAAACTATAAAAATTATACTTTTTAATAGAATTTGATAAAATCAGAAGTGCTCGATTATTTAAGCTTCCATGTGTAACAAATAGACAATAAATAAGAAAAAGTTAGTGGTTTTGTCAAAATCTATAATTAATATTTTAAAAACATTTCCAGAACAAAAGTGACTAAAGAAAACTCCCCGATTGAAACTATGATTATACTATAGCTATCAAGCGAACATAATTTTACAAGTATCCAATGCTACAAAATATGATGCATTCAATATCATTGCCTGCTATTAGTTCTATTATTTCATAGTAGTTCCCGATTACTGGAAATACCACATTTATGAAAATAAATAATTTAAATAAAATTATAAGAAAACGAGCAAAAATATATTTCATTAAAATCTGATGGAATATAAACAATGCAAAGAAAACAAAACATTTGTACTAAAAGTAACGGAAAAATGAAATTACATAGAACATTTAATCGTATGGGAAAATAAACATGTTCCAAGAACGTTTTAAATGCACGCAACAAAAATAAACTGAATTTTGAGCTCATAGCATTGACAGCTCATCTCTTACGGAAAGGGGACAACATGTGATTGAAGATGTTTCACTGACAATTTCTCGAAGGGGGAACCTTTGAGACGGCACAACCTTTTCATCAACACTGCTAAAAATGTTTGTAAAATTATTCTTATCACCTTTTTAAAACATATTACCTTCCAAATGTTGATTAATAGGGACAGCTCCATGTGTGAGACATCGTTTTCCAATTACTGTTACCTTAATATCTGTAGCACGGAAATGCTTCGAACAGACATAATTATCCTTTGATAAATCATATTCAGATATGACTAAATTTTCTAGAAACACTGCTCGTAACGCAAGATCTTATGGTATTCTACAAATAAACACAGAACTAGTGTCAGTATCAAAAAACAAACATAATAAATTAACAAATAAAATACTTAGGACACCTTACACCCTTGTAAGAACGCCCATGGAAACAATGTCAAACTTACTTGTGAAAAGAAGTAGCACATATTTGGCTCTTTTCCTGTAATTGTCGGCATATTATACACCGCTTTGGCATTTTTATTGAAATTAAAAAGAAAAACACAGTTTAAAAAGTCACAAAACACTGAACTCGGCTAATATCTAATTCACAACAATAAACTGTAATAATGGCGTCCCTTTTAGTACCGTTTAATACCAGGCAATGATGCCACTTACGGCGTTTGTATTGCTAGGAATTTCAATAATGTATTTTTATTTCAGATATTCAAAATCTATAATTATAAAACAAGTTGCAAGAAAATAGTGTCGTAGTCTTATGCATATTACAATGTAACTAATTTGTAAGTCGATGCAAGAATGAGGTAGATCCTTGTACGTTAATCAATTAAAATGACCACTGTACAGCTATAAAGATAAAAATGTTAAAAATTGGCATCAACGTCAAGGACGTCACAAGTACCAATGTTTGTAAATACACATATGTCAACACTTCACTATCGAATGTAAATAACGGCGTCCCCTTTATTTATCAGTCTGATGTTGTAACATTGATCGGGTTTTTAGCACACTTACAAAACATCAAAAACAATACAAAATTTATCTATAAACATTCACAAATTTAACCAAATTTAAGGTTATGTTATGTGGAATGTACCAAATCAGCTGAGGGCGTATAAGCCAATACTGTCTAGCAGGCGTAAAAGAAAAACAGAAGTATTAGAAGGGCGTATGAGGATACGCTTTTCTGATATTATAGTTTTGGAAAATTGGTTCATACGCCTGAGTAAAATGCGTTAGAATAGACTGTTGATGTTTATGAATATATACGCCCTTCTTATATATTAAGCGAATTGATTAAATGAAGTCATACGCCCTAAAAACCCAAAACCGACTATGGTGGCTCTTACACCCTTCTGATATGACGCCCTCGAATCTTCACAAAATGTAAAGGATATTGCACCTGACAGTCAACAGATAAAATTCATTTAAAATAAAATCAAGTTATCCAAGTTATTATTCAAAATAGTGAAGTTGCATTATTAACTTATATAATATTTTTAGGTACACATTATAAGTATATAGTAAAGAGATGCATACGAGGTGTGTTCAGAAAATAATCGAACTTTTTAAATTATGCGCTAATGGAGATTGATATACGGTTGGTAGCATTGCATTGCGCATAACCTCCTTTGTAACCACATGCTCTTGTATAGTTGAAATCTCATTTAGTTTTTGTCATATTGTGGCGATTTTTGAAATGTGTTACTTTCTGGAACAACGATATAACGTAAAATTTTGCGTGAAACTAGGGAACGGAAACATGTCAACTTTTGAAACAAGCTTACGGAGATGATGCTCTGGGTCGTACGCAATGTTACGAATGGTTTTCACGATTTAAAAGTGTTTGCCAGTCAATTGAAGTTGATCCTCGACTTGGAAAGCTTTCGACTTCAACTAATGATGCTCACGATCAGAAAGTCAAAGATCTGGTGCACGCAAATCGCCGATTGGCTGTCAGAGAAGTTGCGGAAGAGGTTAACATCTCAATTGGGTCATACCATGAAATTCTGTTTGAAAAATTGAACATGCATCGATTTGCAACAAAATTTGATCCTCGTTTGATGATCGAACAACATAAAGAAAATCGTGTGTACATTTGTCGGCAACTCCTTGAACAATCCAATGACGATTAAACATTAATTCAAAAGATTATAACGCGAGATGAAAGCTGGGTTTATGGCTACGACATTGAGACACAAATGTTCCATTATCTCAATGGACTGGCAAAGGCTATCCACGCCCCAAGAAAGCACGTCAGTCTCGATCCAATGTCAAAGTTATACTCACTGTTTTTTTTTTATTTTAATGGAATTGTGCATTTTGAATTCTTGCTTCAAGATGAAACAGTGAACCGTGTTTCGAAGCGTTTTACAACGCTTAGATACGTGAAAAAAATCCGCAAAAATATATCAAAGTTTGTGCGCCCGCAGACTCAGTTTTATCGATTCATCCTCTCTCATCCTCCTTACTCGCGAGACCTGACCCCTTGCGATTTTTTCATATTTTTGAAATTAAAATCAGCGCTGAAGAGACGCCGATTTCAGACTATTGAGGTCATCAAAGCAAATTCGTCACAATCTGTAAAGGCCGTTTCAAATAAAGCTATCCAGGACTGTTTCGCGAAATGGAAACACCGCTGGGAAAAGTGTGTAAATAGGGAAGGGGAGTACTTTGAAGAAGACATGGACCAATAACGTATATAATTAAAAATAAAGTTTAAAAAATAAAGTTCGCTTATTTTCTGAACAGACTTCGTATCTCCATGCTTGAAATAGAGGTAGAATTCACACCTATTGCTAGGTTTTATAGTTTGGAAGGTTCAATATTTTCTAGCATGCTGCAATCATTAAAAAAACGTCAAATATTAGTAATGTTACCTTTGTATGGAATGAATTTAGGTAGTAACCACTGTAAATTAGACACCTTGTATAATTGAAAATTTTTAATTTAGGGAGAATTTCATATCGCGCAGCTTTTATGTGGTTTTTTATGTTGATATTAACAAAACTCCAGAAGAAATCATCTTAGGTATAATGAATAATCTGTGATGATTTTGATCAGTTCTGATGGATTAGGTCAATCCTGTGGTCACATTGGTAATAAGCAGTGGTGGTGTCAATCTTTGTACTACAGCTTGCTAATCTACTGAGACAGTATGTTGCTTTTCAACATGCAGTGCATATCGCCAGCAACATAATCGTCAAAAAACCTCTTCCTAGAAACGAATAAACATATTATAAACGCAACCATTATACATATTTTACGAACATTGATTGATTATTACTATTCAAAATTTCTTTGGAGTACTTTCCAGATGATATTAAAACCACGGGTTATCTTCAGCTATAAAAGTAGTTTAATTTTAACATTTTGTGTATATAAATTTTGTCTTAATTACAAAATTGGCCTACATGTGACTTATTCATTTATCGAAATAGATGTCAATTATTATTAATAGCAACAACAAAATGAATGATAACAACAATTTATCTTATTTCACCAGCTAAAAACCATTTAGCTATATAGTTGTATGTAGGTTATTTTTTTTACTCAGTTCGGTTTGAATTAATTTCTATTTTGTAACAAAATAGGCTCAAGCTGCCAACGTTGGGTTTCCTTGACATCTTCGCCATGTATTTCGTGAAAGCCTAAATTCCAGGAATCGTGTCCGTTAATCTCATTTATATTATTATCTAATTCAGGAGACCTTCTGTATGCATCTCCTATGGGAACAAATTTAGACCAATCTGTTTCAAAATTACGATTCTCTTGATGGTGTTCGAAGTTGACATCAGGTTTGATGTTTTCGCTATCGTCGCATTCGGTATAATCATAATCATCAATGTTATTAAGATCATATTGCAAATCTCTATCCCATAGTTCATTGTCGTCCATACTAGTCACCATAAGAGCAGTCAGTAGTACAAATAGAATGTTTACAAACATCTGAAGCAATTAAATAATCAGTTGTCATTTGACCATATAGATATAAGATGCGATATATCGACTTATACGAACAGTATACAACTATTTAAAACTCAAATAATTTATCTTCATCGGAATGAAATTTATAGTTAAGTAATTTGGGTGCTTACCTTTTTAATGTTTACGAAATTGCACTGGTCACTGTGAAATAAAACTGAATGTATTCTTATATAGCGAAATTTCATATTCCTCTGTTGTTTGCGAATTGGTATTTTACATTTTCTAAATAAGAAGTTTATCAGAACGTAGAGTTCATTAGTTCAACAGCTGCGTCATAATAATTGGGAATTCCACATTTTCATGCATCGTACATATGTGTGTATTAATATTTTCTAAGAATCCTTCTGGAATTTTATTGACATCGATTCAGAAATATTGTTAAAATTTTACTCTTTTTAGGGTTTTTTGAAAAAGCTCCTTGATTACATCGAACTGTATTTCTTCAAAATGACCTGCCTATAATTATTTACACTCTTTCAAATATTTCAGTGTCTACCTCTGAGATAATTATTGTTCTAGAAAATTTTTTTAAATCAAAAAACGCATTATATGTAAGTTTTATTGGTTGATATAGAACTAATATTATTTGCTTTAATACCCTGTACTTTATTTATTTTTTTTTCTGCGAGTGTGCTTCTTATGAATGTTCTTGCCTCACTTACCTTTTTTAAAATATTTAATTTGAGATGTAATTTTGACATATACGAGTATGTAATTAAAATATATATATATATTTTTCGATATTCGTCATTAAATAGATTCTATTCTCTTCTATTTATTTAGATATTGAAATACGTACACACATACTTATGAAAAAATAAAAATTATATAAATTTTTACACCTCAATATTAGTTAGAAAACGATTATTCAATTTGTTTATACAGGGTGGCCAAATGAAAATGAAACAGAGCCATTTTCAGGAACTGCGTCAAGATTGTAGAAAAACGCTCAGACCCGTCGATTTTAGATTAAAGGGGGACATTCTTTGCTGGTATTTTTGACTCCGCCACTTTCACCC